GTCCCATATACCTAAAGGTCTCGGGTTCAACTCCCGGTCAGCACACATGCCCAGGTTGCCCATTCAATCTCCTGTCAGGGCAGTACAAGAAGGGGCATCTCAACTTGTCCTGCCACTTACCTGGCCCAGAATCTCAAGACAATGACCAGCTCCACAAACCACTCATCACCACTTCCAACAGACAATAGATACTTCTCTTCCCTCCCCCTTTCTCTTTTCCTACAAAAGCAATGAAAAAGTATCCTTGGGGGAGGATAAAGTGAGATCCTATAGGATAGGGCCCAAGAGTGGTTTACAGCAGTATTCCCTGTGTCCGAACATAATGCTATCTCAATAACTAGCTGGTTGACTAGCTTCCACACATGGTTCTTGGGGAGCTGGGGGCAGAACAGGGCAATCTCTCCATGAGACCCTCTCCAACCCCAAATGACCACCCAACTTGGATCAAGAATTCTTCCTGCCTCTCCCGCAAAGCATAGGCAGCACCACTCCAAGATGTGACCTCTAAGAAAAGGAAGGAAGAGAAGGTGGCAGCTCCCAAGTTAGGGACTCAGAAGCCATTCTCTCCTGGGCAAGGGCCTGGATTGGTCTATTGAAAATGACATGATCAGGCAGCCTGCAGCCCAACTTCCACCTGCAGAACAACAAAAAAGCTTTCAAGGACTTGGCTTCATTGCTTAAGAGTTCAAGCTAAGTCCTGCTCAACTCCACTCCCATTGGTAACTTTTAACAAGCCCCCTACTGAGGAATAAGAAGATAACTTTTGAAGTATGGAGAACTGAAGGCCAAGAAAAAAAGATTCTAACAGAAAGATTCCCCTCCCCATCCAATAAATGTTCACCTAGTGTTGTTCTCAAATTGCATCCAACTTTTCCCATCCCCAGCAAAAATCCCAGACACCCTTACAAAATGACCACCCCAATTTGTATCAGTTCACAGGAGCAAGGCTTAGCTGCCTCCTCAAAGGAGATGCTGAAAGAAAAAGTGAGAGAAGTTGAGAGGATTATTCTTTCCCTTCCTTAAGCTTGTCTCCTGTACGTATCAACACTCTCCATTCCCTTTGATTCAAGAATCAGGACTGCAGGCAACCAAAGTGCCAGTGCCCGTGACTCACAACCCAGCCCAAGCTGGTCAGGCAGAGGCCACCACAAGCTCACCCCACAGCCCTTCAACCTCAGCCCTCGACCCTCCCCAGCACACCCGGCCATCCGCACATCTGGAAAGTCCTTCACCATCCGCTGTCTGAGAGGCACCGGGGACCAAAGCAGGAGTAAAAAAAAAAACTCCAAGGCTCTGAGCAAAGTTGACTCTAGCAGTCCCTACCTTCGTTCCCGGCCAGGGGCCCCCAGCTGGGTCGGAGATGGCGGGACCAGCTGAGACACACCCAGTTCCCGGCAGTGCGGCTCCAGCGCCGATACCAGACGCCGGGCAGCCTGAGGCGGGAGCCACGTGGACATCCCCTCCCCGTCCCAACGTGGACCCGCGGCCCCCCCAACCCTGAGCCCAATCCACGTGGGTGCCGGGGCCCTCTGGAGGGGGAGGGGAAGCAGATAAGTTCTCCGGAGAAAATCGCTCCCCCCAGACCACGTGGCTCCGAAAAGGCACTGCGACGCGGGGATAGGGGTAACCCCCGCCCTCGGCATCCTTAGAGGGAGGTCTTAGCTCTCAACTCCAAGCCCGAATCCCTCACCGCCCCCACCCCCATCACGGGCCACGTTTCCAACACCAAGCTGTGCTTCTTCGCCGACCCGCAGGAATGGCCGTAGGGACCCTGCCTCTGCCCGCATCCTACCAGCAAAGGGCCCAGTCCACTCGGCGCAACCTGTCTCCCACAGCCACCCGGCATAGGCTCCGGAGCGCTTCCTCCCTTTCCCGTAGCGTCCACGTGTCACCGCCCGGCACACGCCGCTTTGCTGCCAGCCGCGGGCCGGCCGCCAGCCTCTCACCTGCTCCCCGCCGCTCACAGTGCCCACAGTCCCATACGGCGCTTGGCTCCGACTTCCCTTCCTGCTGCCGCGAACTCCACCGCCAGGGTCGGGGCCAGGGCCCCCACTCGGAGGCGGCGCGACTCGGTCTCTCCGTCCCCGGCGCGCCGCCATCTTGGCCCCTGAACATCCAAGCGCAGCTCTGATAGCCGGCGCCGCCTCCAAGTCGCCTGCCTCGCCCAGCCGGTTGTGGAGAGAGAACTACAACTCCCGGAAGACACTGCAAGACTACGAATTCCAGAAGGCCGTGCGGCGAGACCCACTCTCTCCACACGCTCTTGCACCCGGAAGGAGGGCAGCGGTCTCACGAGGGATCCTGGGAAAGTAGTCGCTTTTACTGAGCCGGGCTGGTACATGCTACAGGCGTACGTACTGTAATGCTTAGTTTTTCTATGTGGGGTACCCAGTTAGGGAGCGAGGAGTAATAAGGGAAGAGTTAACATTTGCGCATCTTTTTATTTTCCTAATCTACCCAACTGTCGGAACACCCTCTTTTGTGTGATGCTCTACCTGCTTATACAGTACATTCCTTTCACTACAATCCAATTGTGCCTATGTTTTGAAACAGCACCCCCTAGTGGGCACGCGCATTCCAGGCTCTAACCCTCACCTAATCTCATACTGCGGCACTACTGCGAGTTTAATCTTTAAAACACTGCATTCTCAGCGTCTCTCGGGGACGATCTAACACCCAGGTTGGCGTCTCATTACCAAGTGTCCTGCAATGATGCAAACAGATCACCTTGCTGCCCTCCGAAGGCAACAGGTGTTCTCCTGCCTTGGTTTTTCTGTCTGGGGTACTCGAACCTCGAAACATCTTTCATACCCTATTGTATCCAGGAAAGCCTTTTTTGATCATCCCAGCCAATCGTGATCCCTCTCTGTACTTCTACAGTCGATCACTATCTCTACTAATCACTCACTTGCCATTTAGAAGTTACTTCATATTGTTTTCCTATTTTTTAAAAAAGGTTTTATTACAAAAGTTTAAAAATCATTTCAAAGAATGCAAAACTATATAAAGTAAAAAAATACACTTGGCCTGCAGATTTAACCCTTGTCACCTTCAGTGTGTATACATCCACACTTTTCCCATGAATCTAAAAATCTATAGGGTTACGCATTGGTCCTCCTTCTTCTTTCTTCTTTCTTCTTCTTCTGTTGTTTAAAAATAGAACCATTCTGTGGCCTGGCTGGTGTGGTTTAGTGCAGCGATCCCCAAACTTTTTGGCACCAGTGACCGGTTTTTCCACTAACGGGGGCGGGGGAGGGCGGAGGGGGAAACTGGAGGTGGAGCTCAGGCGAGCTTCACTTGCTTGCCTCTGCACACCTCCTGCAAAGGACTGGGTGGTGGGGGGCCAGGAGGGCTAGACAGGAGGCAGAGCTCCGGAGAGCTACCCTGGTGGCCTGATTCCTAACAGGCCATGAATCTGTTCCAGTCCGCGGCCCCGGTGTTTGGGGACCCCTGATTTAGTGGGTTGAGCGCTGACCTTCAAACTGAAAGGCTGAACCTAAAGGTCGCAGGTTTGATTCTCACATAGGGCACATTCCTAGGTTTCTGGCCAGGTGCCCGGTTGGGGGGCCAGAGGCAGTGGGTTCATGTTTCTCTTCCTCTCTCCCTCTCTTGCCCTCTCTAAAAAATAAACAAAATCTTTTTTTAAAAAAGGACCATTCCATATGTATAGTTCTACAACTTGCTTTTTTTTCATGTAGCACTGTTAGTTCATTCATTACCCAAATATTTACTGAGATCTTAGTACCCCTTCCATTATATGGATATATCATTACTTGTTATAAATATTTCCAGTTTTTCACTATTACAAATGAAGTTACAGTGAACATTCTTGTACATGTGTACATGTACATATATTTGCACTTTTGTTTGGAATAGTTTCCTTAAAAAGAAATTGCTGAGTTAAAGATGTATGCATTTGAAATTTTGGTGGATAATGCCAAATTGTCCTTCAGGAAGGTTGCATCAACATATATTCCCACATCCTCCACTGGGTGATCATTTGGAATGTCATTCCAATAAGTGAAAGTTGCAGGTTCGATCCCCCATAAGGGCACATATAAAGAATCAGCCAATGAATGCATAAATAAATGGAACAATCAATCGATGTTACTCTTTCTCTTTCCCTCTCCCTTCTTAAAATCAAATAAACATTTAGTGGGGTGGGCTGGGTGGATGGGTGTGAAATAATTGGAACTGTAACAGCCTAAACAATAAAACATAAAAAAGTAAAAATAAGCCCTGGATGGTGTTGCTCAGTGGATTGAGTGCTGGCCTGTGAACCAAAGGGTTGCCTGTTTGTGTCCCAGTCAAAGCACATGCCTGGGTTGTGGGCCAGGTCCCTGCTTGGGGCATACAGAGGTAACCTACACATTGATGTATCTCTCCCTCTCTCCCTCCCTTCCCCCTCTCTAAAAATAAATAAAATATTTAAATATATATGTATACATGCATATGTGTGTATATGTACACACACACACACACACACACACACACATTCCTACAAAAGTTTCATGAAAGGAGAGGGCCTCTGTTATGGACTGAATTGTGCCTACCCCACCCGCACCAGGCAAAATTCATATATTGAAGGGACATACTCCCAATATCACTGTATTTGGAGATAGAGCATTTAAGGAGGTAAAGTTAAATGACATCATAAAAGTGGAGGCCTAATCCCATAGATCTGGTGTCAGAAGAGGAAGCAACAACTTAAGACAGGGAAGAGGTCTCACCAGAAACCAGCACTGCCAGCACCTTAATCTTGGATTTCTAACCCCCAGGGCTGTGAAAAAATAAATGTCTGTTGTTTAAGCCCTTTAGTCTGTGGTATTGTGTTATGGCATCCTGGGCACACAAATACAACTGCCTTTCAGTTAGTTTCATAATCTTTCAGGTAAGTTAATTTTGTCTTCCCAAATAGGCTTTAAAAGCCACAAATTCAGCCCTGGCCGGGTACTCAATGGTTAGAACATCGACAGATGTGCCACAGTTGTGGATTTGATCCCTGGTCAGGGCACATATAAGAATAAATCATGGTCCCTGTAATGTATGGAGGCAGTGGGAAGGGGCTCCGGCCCCCTCAGCGTCATGTCTTCAGTGCTGATGGTTTCCAGTCCTCCGGTTCTGTCCTCAAGCGCCGGGACACTGGTAAAAAGAATAAACCATGGAAAAGAAAAGGAAAAAACAATGAATGCATAAATAAGTGGAACAATAAATATTTTTCTCCTCTCTATAAAATCAGTTTTAAATTTGTTTAAAAAGCCACAAATTCAGAAACTGAATCTGTTCACAATTTTCTGTATAAAATAGTCCTATGAGGGCAACAATAAAGTTTCCAATAAACTTAGAAATTATTTGCCTATGGGAAATCAGTAAGAATAGATAACATAACACATTTCTTCGTCTGTGGAAGAAACATAGTCTAAAAGATGACCTATAAATGTTGGTGATTTGGGCATGAATTATGGTCATTATCATGGTGATTGGGCTTTTGGAAGATTCATGTTAAGGCAGAAAGTTGTGGCCTTTTTGCTTTGTTCAGCATCTAACAAAACAAAATATTCACCTAAATATGGTGTCTGCATGGAATCTACTCAAAAAGATAAGAATATATCTCTCGGTCTCTATTTTTTTTGTTTTTATTTTAGAGAGAAGGGGAGGGAAGGAGAAAGAGAGGAAGAGAACGATTATCTGCCCTTTGTACACACCCCAACTGGGGACCAAAACAACCCAGGCATGTCCTCTGACCAGGAATCAAACTGTGACCTTTTGGTTTACCAGCTGACTCCCAACAAACTGAGCCACATGGGCTGGGGCATACCTCTCAGTCTTCAGTGCCACTGAGACAGAGGTGTTGTGGCTGCTACTCTCCTTGGCAGATGCATTCCTAAGGGCCATGAAGGAAAACCTCAGAGACATAGGCCACCAAACACTGGCACCTCCAATCACATGTCCTTGCTCAACTCCATGCTCACCAGACTCATCTGATTATAATAACTGACTTCCCATATCATTTTCCATGGGGAGAAAGAATGGTAATCAAGAGAAACAAAATTCCAAGTTCACATAATTTGTATTTGTCAGTATCAATTAACAAATGAGCGTTCTGCTTTATTTATTTAGTGCCTACTATGTGCCAGGCTCTGTGTTAGGCACTGGAAATACAGCAATAGCAAATCAGACCAAAAAAACAACAAAAAAATAAAAAACCCTCTCTAATGAAGTTCACATTCTAGTTGAGTGACAATCTCCTAGTAAACAGTCAAAAATAATTTCAAAAGGCTTTATTAGGTACTATCAGAAAATAAATGGGATGGAGAGAGTAAAAGATAAAAAGGAACAATTTTATTTATTTAGAGGAAAAGGGAATGAGAAAAAGAGGGAGAGAAACATCTCCCACACGTGCTCTGACAACACTAAACCCTCAATCTAGGCATGTGCCCTGACTGGGCATTGAACCTCCAATCTTTTGGTTTGTGGGGCATTGCCCAACCAACTGAGCCACACCAGCCAGAGCAAGAGGGAACAGTTTTATATGGTGTGATCAGGTAAGGTCTCCAAGGGGGAGATACTTGAAGTAAGATCTAAATCACAAGGAAAACCTTCCATTCAGAGGACATTTTGGCCCTGGCTGGTGTGACTCAGTGGATTGAGCTCCAGCCTGCGAACCTACAGGTCACCAGTTGGATTCCTGGTCAGGGCATGTTCTTAGGTTGCAGGGCAGGTTCCCCAATGGGGGCATGCAAAAGGCAACCTTCTCTCTCACACTGATGTTTCTCTTCTCTCTAAAAAATAAATAAATAAAATCTTAAAAAAGAGGACATTATGTGGTAAGAACAGCCAATGCACAGGCTCTGAAGTAGGAACACATCTGTTGTGTTCAAAAGGAAGACCAGTTTAACTAAACAGTTCTAGAAAAGAGGGAGGGAGAGTAGTGCCAAAATAATGTTTCATGTGTATTTAATTTGTGTGAGTCAGTCTCCTGCATCTGATGAATTATGATTCACTGAATCTCCAGACCTGCAACACTGAGGACCAGCCCTGGTGTAGCTGGAAGTTCCCCAGATGGCCCCCAATAATCCCTGCCTCCTGTTATTCACACTCTTATGTCAGTCCCTCCCATATTATACACCAGGATTGGTCTGTGTGACCAATAGTAGAAGGCAAAAGTGATGATATAGCACTTCAAAGACTGGGTTATAAAAAGACAGGCTTTCTTTTTTTTTTTTCTTTTTTTTTAATGGCAATCTTTTTTCTTTTTTTAAGATTTTATTTATTTATTTATTTTTAGAGAGGGAAGGGAGGGAGAAAGAGAGAGAGAGAAACATCAATGTGCGGTTGCTGGGGGTCATGGCCCGCAACCCAGGCATGTGCCCTGACTGGGAATCAAACCTGCGACACTTTAGTTCACAGCCCGCACTCAATCCACTGAGCTACGCCAGCCAGGGAAAAGACAGGCTTTCAGCTTGGGTGTTTATTTTCATTCCCCCAGCCCCACTCCCAGGTGCCCCGGCTCTTTCTCTCTCTCATATCTTACACTACTACTCTTCTGAGAGCAATATGCCATGTTGTGAGCAGCCCAATGGAGAGTCCCATGTGGCAAAAAATTGAAACCTCTGTCAGTGGATTGAGTGTTGGCCTACAAATGGAAGGGTTGCAGTTAGATTCTTGGTCAGGGTGTCCCCAGTGGGTGGGGGTGAGAGGCAACCAACCCATGTGCCTCTGGCATTTCAATGTTTCTCCCTCTCTCTCTCTTTCTCCCTCCCTTCCACTCTCTCTAAAAGTAAATAAATAAAATCCTAAAAAAAAATTGAAGCCTCTGTTCAACAGCCATTGAAGAACTGAGGCCTATCAACACCCATGAGAGTTAAGTTGGAGGCAAACTCTTTAGCCCCAGTCATACCTTGCGATGGCTGTCGACCTGGACAGCAGCTAGTCTACAGCCTTGTGGAAGACCCGAGCCAAAACCACCCTCTCAACCACACCTGAACTCCCGACTCTGAGAAACTGCATGAGATAATACAAGTTTGTTGTTTTAAGATGCTAAATTTGCCCTGGCTGGTGTAGCTCAGTGAATTCAGCGCGGGCTGTGAACCAAAGTGTCACAGGTTCAATTCCTAGTCAGGGCACATGCCTAGGTTGCGGGCCATGACTCCCAGCAACCTCACATTGATGTTTCTCTCTCTCTCTATCTCCTTCCCTTCCCTCTCTAAAAATAAATAAATAAAATATTTTTTTAAAAAACATGCTAAATTTGACAGTAAATTGTTACCCAGCAAGAGATAATTAATATACCTGAACTGCAGTTATTCTACTAGGTAACTTCAACCATAAAACCATGTCCCTTTTATTGCTTTAGTTTTAGGCTCAAACAACCCACTTTGAGGAATGGTTTATAGTCCTCAGCTTGTTGTCACATATCATGGAATCCTTGCAATATCCCTGGAGGAATTAGAAAAGCAGGGATCACTATCCCCATTATTCTGAAGAAGTTGGGACTAATACAGGATTAAGCTGCTCTGGTTGGTCCTGACACCCCAAGGTTGCAGTTCACCCTGGGTCAAAGAACATAAAAGAATCAACCAATGAATGCATAAATAAATGGAACAACAAATCAATGTTTCTCTCCCCGCTCTTCTTCTCTTTCTCAAATCAATCAATCAGCCCTGGCTGGTGTGGCTCAAGTGGATTGAGTGCTGGCCTGTGAACCAGAAAGTCACTGGTTTGATTCCCATTTGGGGTACATGCCTGGGTTGCAGGCCAGGTCCCCAGTTGGGGGCGTGCAAGAGGCAACCGATCGATGTATTTCTCACACACTGATGTTTCACTCTCTTCCTCCCTCCCTTCCTGTCTCTAAAAGTAAATAAATAAATAAATAAATAAAATCTTTTAAAAAATCAATTAATCACTCAAAAAGAAAAGAAAGGGTTAAGCCATTCACCCAGGGACACACAGTATTGTTTTACTTTGGCTGCTAGGTTCCTGTCGGGTGTGTCCTCTACTATACTAAGCAATTGTTTATGGAAGGAGACACTGGTAGGTTTTGCCCATTTGCTGGGAATGCCCTGAACGGTAAGGATCCTTTTAAGAGAAAGAACTATTCCCAAATATCTTTGTGCATGAAAATCACCTGGAACCTTTTTTTAAAGATTTTATTTATTTATTTTTGGAGAAAAGGGAAGGGAGGAAGAGAGGGAGAGAAACATCCACGTGAGAGGGGAGCATCAGTTGGTTGTCTCTTCCTACGCCCCCAACCCAGGACCTGGTGTGCAATCCAGGCATATTCCCTGACCAGGAATCAAACCAGTGACCTTTCCATCTGCAGGACAACGTCCAACCCACTGAGCTACACCAGTCAGGGCAAGAAGAATTTGAAATGTTTTTTTTTTTTAATTTACTGATTCTAGAGAGGGGGTGGGAGAGAGAGAGAAAAATATTGATCTGTTGCTGCACTCATATATGCATTCACTGGCTGATTCTTGTATGTGCCCTGACCAGGATCAAACCTGGCAACCTTGGAGTATTGGGGCAAAGTTCTAACCAACTGAGCTACCTTGGGCAGAGTCCCTGAGGAATTTGTTTAAATTTCAGATTCCTAGATCCCCTGCCCTCTCCAGAGATTAGATTTCTTCCATCTGAGGGTGGGGCCTTCTACATATTTAACAGGTTTCCTGGGAGTTTTTTATACACTTTGAGAAGCTCTTTCAGCAGAGAAATGAAATGGTGATGGTAGATGGTCAATGGACAAGAGGGAAAGGAGCCATGTGTTGAGGCAAAGGAAGGTAAACCCTATCATATAATTCTTACCATTCAACAATTACTACCGGACACATACTAGGTCCCAGGTACCCTGTTAGGTGCTGGGGACACAGCCATCAATGACATATATCATCCACTATCATGATAGAAAAAGAATATGCATCCTTGAAAGACCAATGCCAATATGAATTTGAGGGAGTTTAAAGGGTAAAAAAAAATGTGGGAGAAAACAGAGAAGGCCAAGGTTAAGGTCATGGGACAAGTTCCAGGGACTGGAAGAAGCAGGAAGCCTCCTTCTCCTGGAGCAAGGGCCTAGTCAGTTGCATCTGCTGTTTGTCTCTCTGAGGGGCATCTCTTCCCATTTTCTCACCTCACCTCTCCTCAAGTAC